ATATTAGTGATGTAACGAATATTCGGTTACTATTTGGTATTCGGCCTATTTTTCGCTATTCGGCCGAATACCGAATACCTAAAAACAGAAGTAAGAAATAACAAAAACTCAGTAAATTAATCATTTTGGTATTTAGATTTAATGTTATCGGGTTAGTGTTGTTTGTTTATATTTATTTATAACTTATAACATGCACAAAATAAAAAAGAAAATAATATTAGTCACACGTATTCACAATTTATAATTACAAAGATCAGCACACGCACACACCTATTTGTTCGAGAATTGTCGCACACATCTGAGGATCTGATCCTGCCTATCCTTTTTTTTAAGTGCTCGTCTTTGCTTTTCGCTTTCTCTTTCCTCTATCGCTCTACTCCATGTATGCCTATTCATACATCATAATTGCACTCATGATACTTTCAATTCATCACTTTTCCGTCGTGGATTTCCAATTTTACAATTATGTGACTCATAGCCTGGTGATAACGGAGAAAAGAGACAGATATGATGTCGGTATAAGTCACAGTTATGATTTCACGGATTCAAGACAGCTTGGTAGCCCAAACGGCCCCAGGCTTTTGCCTGTGCACGCTAAGTGACTTTCATTACAAGCATTTAGCTTTCCGTTCTGAAGCCTATCACAACAATTGTTTGGCATTGACAACCACGAATTTCGCGCGAATAAGCTGCCTCGAATTGTTCGATTATGGTATCAACTCAATTTCTTATTTATTTTCACATTTTCACTTCGCAATCCTTCTCTGTTCTTTTTCCGTTATTTACACGTGTAGGTCATTTCATTGTTATCCACATTTGATATCATTTATCACATACAGTACTGCCATGACGCTCTTGTCTGTCTGCTACAACTGTCAAGAATGAACATGATTGATGAAGCGTATTGACAGCGGGCCAATAGAGAGCAGGGTCCTTGCCATAATGAGATTTGCACGCCAATTTTCGTACGTGCGTTAATCAAGCCAAATAGTTTGGCCGAATACTCGGTATTCGGCCTCAGGCCGAATATACTATTCGTTGCAACACTATTGTATATATTATCTGTTTGTATTAGCAAAATGAAGTAAAATTGCGATGATTGATTAGTTAACGTGATAGATCAGAAGGGTCACAAAACTTTTTTCACAGCGGGCCAGATAATTGAGAGAATGACGAGCACGGGCCTCATAACAATTTTGTTCAATACAGCACACTGAATACACAAAAAAATAAAGACAACCAACATATTTATTTACCAATACACAAACATGATTGCTGCAGCAAGCTCATAATCACTTTTCTTAGAAACTTCATTGCAGGTAC